ACAAAACAGAAGTCAGCTTGCTTATCAACCTGAAGTCTTTGCAAAGTGACAAGTGAACATCTGTCAAATAAAAGGAAATTACAAAGTAACTTTTCAGTACTCAGAAAATTCCTAAATATAATGCATAATCTCAGCCCTAAGCATTCCTAAAACATAGCTGGAATGGAAATCCTAAAATAATGACATAAGTATTGATTGTATAATCACTTCACTACATACTAGTAACTCCTGAGAAAAAAATGAGGGATCTCTTGAGTTTCCTTGGAGTAAATGATGCTTGAGAAGGGACCTGAAGGATGACCACATTTAAACCAGTGGCTTCTTAACCCTGACTGTGCCTTATAAACACCAGGGAGGCTTTTAAAACTTACTGACCAGGTCCTATGCTTACAGAGTCTGAATTAATTAGTCTGGGGCAAAATCCTGGCATTAGTGTTCTCTGTGAACTCCCTGGTGATTTTAAGGTGTAGCTAGGGATATAAGTACTGAATACGCAGAGTAGAGAGAAATATCCCATTTCCAAAATGCGAAAGAATGAAATAGTCAATGAGAGAATGGCAGATCTTCTACCTTCAAGGTTAACATCTTTGAGGGAGAAATGGACACAGAGACTCTGGAACTAGCAGTCTGAAGTAGGTTTTTAGAACACTGGACTTTCATTCATTTGCTCCTTCAATCAATAAACATTCATTCAGGACTATGTATGAGGTGCTCTGTCATACAACCAGTTGAACAAAGGGGAGCAAAACAAACAAGGTCCCCAATTTTAGAAGACAATCAAGACACATATTATGTCTTCTATTATGTATGCTTTATGTACTGTTTTAAGCAGGGGATGGCAGGATCCTCTTTGCCTATTTTTTTTTTTTTTTGAGAGGGAGTTGGGAGTCTCACGCTATCACCCAGGCTCCCAGGCTAGAGTGTAATGGCGTGATCTCAGCTCACTGCAACCTCCATCTCCTGAGTTCAAGTGATTCTCCTGCCTCAGCCTCCTGGGGAGCTGGGACTACCAGTGTGTGCCACCATGTCTGGCTAATTTTTGTATTTTTAGTAGAGACAGGGGTTTCACCATATTGGCCAGGCTGGTCTTGAACTCCTGACCTCGTGATCCACCCACCTCGTCCTCCCAAAGTGCTGGGATTACAGGCATGTGTCACTGTGCCTGGCCTCTGTGCATTCTTAAAAGATCACTGTGAGCTGTGGAGAATGAGTTGGAGGAGGAGCTCCACCGAATGTCAATCAAGTCAATATGGACACCACCATGCAAATCCAGTGTAGATGCCAAGGGAGCTTGGACTAGAATGGCAGAGGAGGAAGACAAATGGAAGCATGATGATGATTTTGAGACACTTAGAAAGTAACATTAACTAGACATTGTGATGAGAGGAACTGAGGTGAAGAAAGGGCCAAGGACCTGCTCAAGGTTGCTGGCTTGGTAACTTAACGGACAGTTCCTGTCCTGCACTGAACTTGGGCCACCCAGGAAAGATGAGGTTTGCAGGAAAAGATCATGGATCCAGATCCATGTTAGTTTTGGGAGCCTGAGACATGCTGGAGCATATGTGAAATGGTTCAGTATACCCAGAATGACTGCAGGTGCCCGCGGGCTCTGGATGCTCCAGTTAATGCTAGTTGTCCTGGCATCCGGTCATTTGATGATTTGGTACTTTCACTCTCACAGGGTCGCTGTTGATGATGAGTTAGAAGGTCCCCCTGATATTCACATCTGGAACTAGAAGAAGTTTTGAGTGGGATATTTGTGAACTGCCTGTTGAGTGAACACTGAAACCATAGGAATCTATGCCATGGCAAGATTTGGTACACCAGATACAATGTGAAGGCAGAGGGTCTAATGGCTTGTTTCTGAGGAACCCCAGTGTATGCAGACCAACCAGAAGAGGACAGACACCAAGGAAGTAGAGGCAGCTGCTGAGATGTCACAGAGCAAAGGAAATCAAACTCTACTTGGGTAATGATGCTGAAATCAAACTCAAGGACAACTGAGAAGTAGGCTCTGGGTATGGCTACACGTTTATTCGAGCCTCAGTTGTGCCACATTTAAAACAAGAGGACCTGCCTATCTGATCTCTAAATTCCTTCCTACTCCTAGAGCCCTTGAAGTCTAATAAATTAAAGTGCAGCATGAGGTAAATGCTAAGTAGATGTATAAACACTATACCAGCATGGGGGCAGAAAGAAGGAGATGAGTATCTAATTCTACTGAGCAAATCAAGGACAATTTCACAGAGAATGTTTAACCTGACACAGGAAGCGGGAAGGCTCATCCCGTGCTTGGGAAATGCTAACTAAATCCACCTGTGTGAGGTACACAGTATATAAGAGATGGGAGGCGGGGCTGGAGGGGGCCTGGACAGAGCAGGAGGTATGGACCTCGGCTTCCAGGCTGAGTCTGCGCTTCTTCGTCACATGATCAGTTCAGGATTTTAGGAGGCATATTCTCCAGGGGCAATCTAGAAAAATGGACTAGAGAGATGAAGGACAGGTGGCAGGAAGCCCAGTTAGAAGACATTCTGCAGCGATTAAGATGAGGGATGAGAGCCTAAGAGAGGAAACTGCCAGTGAGGATGGAAAGGAGGGGCGGGCACCAGCCACTCTGAGTGAGAATCAGCAGGACTTGATGACTGATTAGCACAGGTAGTGAGGAAAGCAGCTGTCTTGAAGATGGCTCCTAAGCTTCCAGCATGTGCCAACAAACGGATAACGGGATAATGTGTAAATACAGAGAAGGGGCAGCTTTGCTCCTCAGGCCTGAGAGAAGAGTGACTGCTATGGTTTGAATATCTGTGTCCCTCCAAAATTCATGGTGAAAGTTAATCTCCCGTGCAACAGTATTAAGAGGTGAGGCCTTTCTATGGCAATGAGGCCACAGTATTAAGAAGAGGTGGGGCCTTTCTATGGCGATGAGGCCATGAAGGCTCTGCCCTCATGGATAGAATTAGCATCTTATAAAAGGGCAAGAGGGAACTAGCTAGCCCCTTTTGGCCCTCCTGTCCTTTCTGCAATGTGAGGACACAGTGCACGTCTCCTCCGCAGGATGCAGTATTTCAGGCATCATCTCAGAAGCAGAAGCAAGATGCTGAAACACTGAGTTTGCCAGCACCTTGATCTTGGGCTTCTCAGCCTCCAAACTGAAAAATAAATTTCTATTGTCTATAAAGTATCTGGTCTCAGGTGTCTTGTTACAGCAGCAGGAGCAGGCTAAGAGACTGTCCAAACATACCAACTTGGAAATGAGGTCGAGGTGACATCTGAACAAACCCTACATGTTCCTCTCTCTTCCTTGAGTTTGAGTGCACAGTTTGTGTTACACACCTTCAGACTTCATCCTAGCTCACATTGTTAGTACTGCTAATTATTACACATTTCTCTGGGGCTTCTAAAATATGTCTTCTATTTTTGTACCCCTTTCTTCAAAGAGCCTAAGCTAATGTTGGGCTCATAATAGGTGTTTAATAAATGATAACTCTAAACACATTAACGCTGAGAAACAAAAAGGACTTATTTTCACTGGAGCCAAATAAAATTTCAAGGGCAAATGTTTAAAATTTGCTTTTCGGCAAAACGTTAAGAAATTCGCCAGGTGTGGTGGCTTGCCTGTAATCCCAGCAACTCAAGAGACTGAGGCAGGAGGATTGCTTGAGCCCGTAAGTTTGAGGCCAGTCTGTGTAACACAGCAAGACATTTAAAAAAAAAAAAAAAGAAACAAATCAATTGAACTAACTAATATGTTAGTAGATGTATGTCTGCGTCATTTTATTTTGAGACTGAGTCTCACTCTGATGCCCACGCTGGAGTGCAGTGAGGCGATCTCCGCTCACTGCAACCTCCACCTCTCGAGTTCAAGCGATTCCCGTGCCTCAGCCTCCCATGCAGCTGGGATTACAGGTGTCTGTCACCACACTCAGCTAGATTTTGTATTTTTAGTAGAGACAGGATTTTACCATGTTGGCCAGGCTGGTCTTCAAGTCCTGACCTCAAGTGATCCACCTGCCTCAGCCTCCCAAAGTGCTGCAATTATAGGCGTGAGCCACCATATCTGGCCTGCATCATACATATTTAATATTTTTCGATTATATTTTAATTGACGAGTGTATATATCTAAGGGGTACAATGTAATTTCTTAATACACATGTATATATTACACAATGATATATCAGGCTAGTCAGGATTTCCCTCACTTCAAATATTTATCATTTCTTTGCGGTGAGAACATTTAAAATCCTCTCTTTTAGCTATTTTGAAACATACAATAGATTATTATCATAGTTACCTTGCTGTGCAATAGGTCACAAGACTTATTACCACATCTAAATGAAACTGTACCCTTTGACCAATGTCTCCCTTTCCCCCTGCCCTACCCCAGCCTCTGGAAACCACCATTCTACTCTTTCATGACTTCCACTTTATTTTAGACTCCACATGCAAGTGAGATCCTACGGTATTGGTCTCTCTGCACGATACATTTTTAAAAGAAACAAACAAGACAAATCCAAATGCTAAGTAATTCTGTTAATGAAATAGAAATAATTTTTACTACATTCAAAGTTTGCCTTGCAATTGTTTCTACTCGATAAATCAATATCTTATAGATTTACATTATAAAATTTGGGGACAACATTTCCATAAATATTTCTCCGAAATCTCTAAATCTTTAAATATTACGGTTAGGTCATTCTAACAGTAATGTGGGAAAAATTTATTTTCATTTTTTTTAAAAAAAGAACTGGAATACACTGAGAATGCTGACCCTGTCAAGGCAGATTTTTTTTTCCCCACAAAGCATCCCCATTATCTGGCATCACTAGGGGATGTGTGTAAGTAAATTTTATATCTCTTGAAATGTCAAAAATCTTTCCATCTTTTTCATATACATTTTGGAAAATGCATCACACACTTTACCCTCTTAAGCGACTGTGGACCAACGATATGAGCATTCGCTACTCTCATTAATGCTATTGCATCGCTGCTCCCTGGATAAGACATCACACGCTCACTTCTCCGGCCATTCACGGGCCCGACTGGAACAGGGCGTCGCAGCTCCTGCTTCGCTTGAGTTTAGCACTTCTAATGGGTAACTTGGTAAGTCAGCGATCAATGCTCCTAAGAATTATTCATTAATTAAAAGTACGATTCTAGGTGACAGCCCAAATACAGCGCAGGAGCTCTGTGACTCTGTTGTGGTCATTCTTCCCTAAATGAGAGCTCCTATTCCCAGCATTCTGATGGGCTGGAAAGCAAGTGTCACCATCCTGATATACACACATACACACACACACTCTCTCTCTCTTTCCCTCCCTCATACACACTATCCATCACTCACTGCATACCTGGCCCCAGTAGGGCCTCTCTGTGTGTTAGCTCATTTCATCTTCACAGTTACCCCACAAGCGGGTTTGTTTTAACTTGTCAATTTCATGGTTTCCAAAGCAACTTCATGGTACAGATGGACTTCAGTTTCAGTCTCCAAATTCAATCGCAACACTCTCCACAAAATCATAATGGTAAGCACTACATTCACTATAAGGTGCTGATGACAATGACTCCAATGATATAAGACAATACTGCCATCACCATCTCCACCTGTGGGGGTCCCAGACCAGGCATCTGGCAACAGCAACACCACCAGCCATTGTTATGGTGTTCAGATGAAGAAATAAGGCTCAGAGAGGAGGCAGCTTTGCCACAAGTTACACCGCATACAAATGGTAGAAATGGGATTTGAGGATTTCTCTAATTTCAGAGCTCAACTTGGTCACCACAAAGTAATAAAAGCCAGCGTGCTAGGGGAATTTCATTGATATTTTTATTTTAACATAACAATTAAGACTTATTCCATCATATCATGTTTAACATTTGATTTTCCTTTCTTAGAGAATTTAGTATCAGTGTTTATTGCTGGCAACATTCAAATGCCAGCAATAAAACAAACGCACACAAAATATATATATTTTAGTTATAGCTGGTCACTGGAGTTCCTCTCCAAACAATAGGTGTGTTAAGGGTGTCAAAAGCCTACTATTGACTCTGGTAGGCAGAGATGGAGAGATAGGCAGACAGGGATGGGGAAGGACAAAGGACAGGCCTAGTGCTACTGCCACTTAACCCCTTCCCTCCTTGCCATGAATAATTCTTACAGAAGGCCCGTTGACAGCCTCCGTTTCTGTTTTAAAGCAGGAAGAAGCGTATTGCAAACTGAAAACATTTTCTCCTCCAAAATGGGTAGACGGGGATGACATTCAAGATTACCCACAATCTGGACGCAACCTCTCTCTCCAACCCTTCCTGGATTTCTCCATGAGGGCGCCTCTGACCTGCTGCTCCTTCACGGTCTCCCAAATCCACAATGCAGACCTCTGCAGCTACATCACAGGTTGCAAACTAGTAGCCCAATTGCCAAACCCAGGCTGCAGACTCATTCTGTTTGTGTGTTTTCTGTGTTGTGTGTTTTTTATTCTTCCAATGAGCTCACATGTTAAAATCGGGAATTTTCACGCAATTCACCCGCTGGCATTTCTTGAGAAATCTCACAATCTGCCAATGTTAGGTTTCACCCTCACATGGCAATGACCAGTCTGGCAGTGCGACGTAGCATCTCCTCTTGGAGAAAGTGTGTGCCCTTGAGTTCACAGTCTCACCACTCCCTATGTCTCTCTGACTCAGGCTATGTCAACATCGTTTATCATCAAACTTGCTCCATTGTTTTTCTAACAGTAAAGATTTCTCTGTACCAATGATTCTACAAAAATGGGAAAAAATGAAAAAGAGAATTACATATTTTAAGAAATATGAGAGAACACATCTTGGTAGACGTGAACATTTAACATGCAACTAATCTGGCCAAATTCTTTCATCTGTGCTACCTGCTAGTGTTACGGTTACCTGTTCATGAAGTTAGGCTGGCTATCATTCATCTCTAGGTTGTCCACTGCCTTTCGCCCTCCTGGAATGCCCTGACTTCTCCTAGTCAAACTCTTGTCTTTATCCAGAGATCTACAGTCTACAGCCACATCTTTTGTTCTCATCTAAATGCTGACAAGTCTCTGTTGGTACTGTCTATTTAACATGAATCACAGGAGATCTTCAAACAACAGAACCTGAAACAGACTTTAGAACCTGAGCAGTCCTAGGTGATGACCTCAGTCCAGAGGCCACAAACCTTTTGTGGAGAGCAGTTATTCTCTAGTGAAGACACTTGACATTGATGTAGAGTGAGGGAAGATTTCATTCCCGCATCAATTATTTACTGATGGACTCTTCAGGGCCAGGCACTGTGTCAGCAGCTGAGGCTTTACAGAGAACAGGGAAGAAGGGTCTCTGCCTTCACAGGGGGTTTTTGTGGGCAAGCGTGCAATGAACATTCTGCCAAGTGATTCCACAGGGAAAGAGGCAAATGGTCAGCTTTTGTTCTTCTCAGGTCACTGGCTTCCAATGCCCCACTTTGTTGGGTGTCTCTGGCCTTCAGTGGGTTGGGGGAAAAGGCTAAGTCATGCGTTCCTACCGTCTCAGTTCACTATGTTTTGAAACATTTGTGAGCCCCCAGGGCCCCTCTGTTATTTGTTAGCAGTTAAGGCTGCAGGACCTTTGCCATGTCTCAGAGTTTCAAGGCACTGCTAATGTCTGCATGCTGCAGGAAGGGTGCGTGCTAGAACCATTAGTTTGGATATCCCCTTCAGTGCTCTGGCATTTCAAAGATCCATGTATCTATTCACATACAATCTGACCAAAACAGTAATTCTTAAATTATCTCTCCCAGCTTCTTAATAATTTTAATAACTGTCAATTACCTCTTTCTATCATGCCCGAATTGAAAACTCCCTGTGAGTCTGAGATCAGGCCTTATTTCTTCTCATCTGTCCCAGTACACAGTCACTTGGACACAGAACATGGACAAAATATGTATGGTTTGATTTAAATGATAAATGAATTGAGGGAGAAAAAATGGCTATGTCAATAAAGCACACACTATAAATGAAGATATACATTCAAATCAGAATAGAGATTTATTGTATTTATATTGCCTCATAAAATTTATAGGTTCAATGGCCATTTTTATAGGTTCAATATTAATTTCTAATATTTTAAATATGATAGAGGGAAATCTTAAGTTTTGACTGGTAAATACCGCATTACTCCCTAAACAATTCTCAAAAGTTTCCCTGAAGCCATTATTTTTCACATTTTGGCTTTACATTTGATGCCTCCCCCTGCCCTCTGGCTCTCCAAAGAGTATTCATCAGGCCACACATATTCTCTAGAATCTCAAGTAAGAAGAAACTAAAAATAACTGCATTATAAACAACATCTTTTACAACTAAAGATAATATTAAAATTAATAATTTTGCATAATTTTCTAATCTCAGAAAATATCTTTACCTATTTCTAGAGCTATGCAGTCTTACTGTACATGAAGACAGAAAAAATTATGATATAAAAGAGAGATATGGTTGGGCACGGTGGCTCACACATGTAATCCCAGTACTTTGGGAGTCTGAGGCAGGAGGATCGCCTGAGCCCAGGAGTCCAAGTCCAGCCTGGGCAACACAGAGAGACCCCATCTGTAAAAAAATTTAAAAATTTAAATAAAAAAAATATTATAAAGAAGATAGGGTGTTCTTAAAAGTTTACAAATTTAACATTTCTTAAGGTTCATATATGATCACAGGTTATCCTTTTGTTCTATAAATACTATGAATGCAACTAAATATGCTGAATTTTTCTACAGCGTTAAATCACTGTACACTTAAGTGCCCATATGATATCAATTATTCTCCAACTTGGTACATCAAATTAAATGTAAGGGTTTAGTAACATTTCTCTTCAACATATATTTTAGTGGGCATTTTAAAAGTAAAAAAAAAAATCGCATTTGTTTAGATTTTAAATTATGGCATCACTTTAGAAAAATGATGCATATAACAACAGACACTGGGCACTACTAGAGAAGAGGGGAGGGAAGGGCTGCAAAACCTACTGTTGGGCACTGTGCTCACTGGGATCATCCATCCCCCAAACCTCAGCGTCATGCAACATACCCACGTAAGAAGTCTGCCCATGTACCCTGAATCTAAAATGAAAGTTGAAATTATTTAAAAAGAAAAAAAAAGAAGAAAAAACGATTCATAGAAGTGTGGTAACTACTTGACTCAGTGGTGCGTGCTTCCATAAAAATGTACTTGTTATGGAGAAATTTGTTTCATATAAGTTAAGCCAAAGTTGTTGTGTTTTAACATTTAAAACGAACAGATTCATCCACGGACCCTTACACAACATAGTCCTACTCTCCTTTAACCTTCCTCTATCACCAACATTCATACGAAGTACACAGAACACATGTACTTGTAATTACAATTGCAAAAAAAAAAAAATCCTCAAACAGCTGTGGAGACAGCAAAGATTAGAATTTGATAGTGGCTTAGAATAATGAAGAAAGGGATTGTGAAGGTTCAGCTACAGAGCTGATGAAAGATGGAAGGAAAACCTACTCTTCAAAATCCTTAATCTGTATTACTCCTAAACTCTAAATTAAAACACATATATTCCAAGAATCAGAAATAATAAATGATGAGTAATGTTTCTCAATTATTTAACATATGTATTAAACCTTGTTTTACTAGCAATAAATTCAAAATTTGCACATAATTCAACTAAAATCTTTGAAGGTCTTATTTAAATTATTATTCTAAAAATCTCATAAAATAATTCCAATTTGGTTACATCTAGCTCATTTCTAGGCAGTATTATTTATTTTTTAACGTTACATTTACAACCATTATTAAAGTCTAGAGTTCTTGATGAGGCCCTGAATAATCAATCAACTGTCACAGTGAAGTGATCATAAAAAAAATCTTTTGAATAGTTTCCTTATTATAAATACTTAAGAATAGACAATAATTTTTAGTATCATATATCCTTATTATATAATCTTTGAGAAGATGGCTCAGAACAGAAATATGACAGTTTTAACAAAGAGCCATCTTTTGAAGTTGATCATATGATGAGTAAGTACAAGCACACCGAAATTATTTATATTGTAGAAAAACTTACTGTATTCCCTCACTTTGCAAATTTTATAGTCAACT